GCTATTTTTCCTCCAGTGAGGATGGTCAGCTCCTTTGTCAAAGATGAGGTAGCTGAGTACATCTGTGTTTGTTTTTAAAGACATGGAACTCTTCACGAATTTGCGTGTCATCCTTGTGCAGGGGCCATGCTAATCTTCTCTGTATCGTTGCAATTTTAGTATATGTGCTGCCGAAGCGAGCACTACAGTACTTTTTACTGAGATCCATAGATCCAGTGAGGATGGTCAGCTCCTTTGTCAAAGATGAGGTAGCTGAGTACATCTGTGTTTGTTTTTAAAGACATGGAACTCTTCACGAATTTGCGTGTCATCCTTGTGCAGGGGCCATGCTAATCTTCTCTGTATCGTTGCAATTTTAGTATATGTGCTGCCGAAGCGAGCACTACAGTACTTTTTACTGAGATCCATAGATCCTTGCAGTTTGTCTCTGAGAAGCTCAGTTTGGCTGGTGGCTATGTTGATCCTGGCTACACTCAGTTGCGTAGGTCAGCTGGGGACTGCCTGAGGTAAGCTGGACTCAGAGTGGGCAGTTAGATCTTGCTCTTCATCCTCTTCCTAGAGCTGGGGCCCAACATGGCATGAGACAGCAGAGACACAGAGAAAAGGCAAGTCCCACAAGGGCTTTTAAAGACTTTGGTCACAAAGTACTTACTAACATTCCTTTGACTAGCAAGTCACACAGTCTAACCCAAGCCAAGGGGTAGGGAAATGTTAAATAAAGCAGGTGAGTGCAGAAAGAGCTCAAGAATTGGGCCATTGATAGGATCTGCTAGACCCCATTCTTCCTTTGGAAATGGAAAGCTGCAATTTGGCTCTCACCCACACTTGCATTGGTTGATCTCAGGAAGAGATTTGCCTCTTAGCGATGGAAATATCTAGGGTTGCATAGATCAGATGTTGAGGGAGGATTGGCAGAATCAGCAGAATCAGTTTCTTGGAGGAAATACTTGGGCCCTGTGTTGGGGCTATGAAATTAGAAACTCCAGGAATAGGACCCAAGAATCTGTAATCTGAAGTTTTTTGGGTGATTAATGTTTACTAAAGTTTGGAAAACATTGGTTTGGAGATAATCTTTGCCATGGTGTTCCTGATAGTCTCATCCCTATGTTACCTTCTCTTCTTTCCCCAAACTGCTGTCATTCATTACCTGAACCTGTTGTAGTGCCTGCAGGAGGATACTAATGCCTAGAGTAACAACCTTCTTAGATCCGTATGTGTGGAAAGCCCCAGAATAGACTACTATCCCTGCTGGTGCACGGAAACCTTATGTCAGGAATGGAAAACAGGAATAGGAGGTCACAGGTACATGCAAATATTAATCCTTTAGGTATGATGAACAGATACATGCTAGTAGATGACACATTTGTATTATCTCATTAATCAACATGAATCACTTGACTTCATAGCTAGAGGTAAAGAGAATAAAAAGTGCTTTCCAATATGTCTAAGAGAGTGAAAATCATACCTATGTGGTTGCAAGTTATTGGAGAAGTAGAACAGTATTATTCACCATTGTCAGAGAAATATCTGTCTGGGAGTATGTCATTCTTTTTAGCTTATGCATAAGATGGGAGATATATTTTTCCTCTTAGGAATTAATATAATTATGTTTTTATTGAAAATATAAAACATTTCAGTGGTGTGATATGATATAATTTAATATAACAACACCTAAAGGGAGATATTGCTTCCTCATTTTCATTTTATTTTGAGATAGTAAAACTGAGTTTGTAAGGTTTAGTTTCATCAGTTAATATCCCTAAGATGAAAACATCCGGAGTGTCATAACTCAGCACAACTATATGCTAACTGTGCATATTGTGTGTCACAAGCAGATAAACAAAAGAAAATAAAGGGAAAGGAGGTAATTGCTCACAGGATAGAGGAAGATATTATCCTGCCAGTTTCTTCCTGGAACTGTATGTATCATGTCCTGTGTTTGTGATGTAACACAGGGAGTCATTGCCAACAATGAATAGCATTATTGGGATTTCAGCAAGTTAAGTGCTAAAGAAATTTGAGTTCCGACACACCAGGCACACGCATAACACGAGAAATATATAATGCATCACCATGGCTGGTTGTGCCTGTGGCAGTTAAAATACCAATACTGACAGAGAAGCTCATCTGTTCATTTGATTATATCTTAGGGTTTAAATCTCTCTAACAGGTAGAGAGGGTGGTGGAAAAAGCTAGTTTACTCTGATTGATGTACAAAAAAGAGGTTTTGGTCTGCTTCTCATGTAAATATGAGGAATAAGCTTGGCTGAGTTTGGATTTCTTTTATTATCAGATAATAAATAGGTGGATTCTAAAAAAAAGAGAGGCGATGTAAAAGCCATGAAAGCTTTGAAGGTTGCTGAATGAACACACAGCACATTCGGTTACAGACATCTTTGTCATTGTGGCTGCCACTGTTTATTTGATAACTTGATCCTTTATGGCAGACAACTTAGAGTCATACTTTAGTCTTTCCTTTTCTCATACCCAATCCAGGAAAACCACCACTTCTTTTCTCAATGTTTCTACACTGCATCTTTTTCTTACTGTTGCTGTTTTGTTCACCAGTAGTCTTATCCTCTGTCTTTTGATCTTTGCCAAGACTGTCTAGCTGGCCTGTGTGCCTACAGTGCTGGAAGTCCTCCTTTACAGTTGCCATCTGTGGCTTTTTTACCTTTGCATCATAAAGTCTTCCATGGTGCACCATCCATTTATCCATGACAGCATCTGGCAAAGAGAGTGCACGAGGTGACTGGGCACATCATGGGGACACTTGCATGCATGTGCATCACACAGTTCCACAAAGGAAGAAATTAATAATCCAGGGAGCAATGATGGCACCTTTCTTTGTCCACATGTCCTGCATACAGTGG